GTTGAGGTCCCCCAGTATAATTGTGCTGATGGTTATCTGATCTGTTATGCCTAGTAGTGGTTTTTTTATGAAGTTGGTATTTGGTACACTGGTACTTGGTGCATATGTATTTAAAGTTGCTACCTCTTCATGTTGATTTGTTCCTTTAATCAGTATGTAGTTGTCTTTGTTTCTCCAGATCAGTTTTGGCTTAAGGTTCACTAGTCAGAAAATAGGATAGCTATTCCTGTTTGCTTTGAAGTCATATTGCAAGGAATATTGTTTGTCATCAAAGTTTTAGCTGTGAATTTCTTTGTGGTTTAAATGTGTCTCTTGTATTTAGCACACTGTTTGGTTTTGTTTTTTATCTAGTCTGCCCATCTGTCTTTTGACTGAGAAGTTAAGACCATTTACATTGAGAGGTGGTTTTTTGGGGGGTTTTTTGGTTTTTTTGGTACCGGGGATCAAACTCGGGTCAGCAGGCAGCGAAACCACTGAGCTAAATCCCCAGCCCATACATTGAGAGTTATTCCTGAAAGGTATTAACTGATTCCTCTGATTGCATTTTGTGTGTGTGTGTGTGTGTGTGTGTGTGTTTGTGTTGCTGATTCCTTTATTTTTCCATTTTATGTAACTGCTCACCCTGCTTGGTGTTTTTTGTTCCATTATACTTTTTATTATTATTGGCTTCATTATCTCTGTCTAGGATATTTTTGAGAATTTTTTGTAGTGCTAGTTTGGTGGTCAAGATTTTCTTAAGGTGTTCTTTGTCATAAAAAGTACTTTTTTCTCCATCAATCTTGCAAGACGTTTTGCTGGATATATTAGTCTAGGTTAAAAGTTTTCTTTTAGGGTTTGTAATATTTCACTCCAAGTTCTGCTGGCCTTTACATTTGTGTTGAGAAGCTTGCTGTGGATTTACCTTTATAATTCTAATGCATTTACCTTCATAAGTGTTTTATTGGTTTTCTTTAATAGCTTTAATGTTCTGTCTTTTTTTTGGACTCCTGGGATATTGCCTATGATGTTCTTTTCTGATCATGGCTATTTGTGGTCTATATAACTTGCTTATCTGTATGTGAATTCTTTCCCCATACTTGGAAAGTTTTCTGCTATGATTTTTGTAAATGTATTTTTATGCTATTTGTGATGTCTTTTGATTTTTCCCTAATTCTGGTTTATCTTACCTTAGTCTTCTTTGTGTTATCTAGCAGCTATTGAATCCATTTCTTCTTTTTTGTTTTGAAGATATCTCTGAATCACATGCATCAGATTGGACCTGGTCACTGTTTTAAAGAGAAAGTGCCTGCTGGTTCTAAGAATGTCAACAGATCGAACTGTATATGTCACAAATATTAACATTTGCTTTAACAATTTTACCATTTTATCAGTGCCACTCACATTCTGTACTGATACTGCCACTAACAGATGGATATGGAGGGAGGGGGAAAGTGAGAGAAGAGAAATATCAATAGGTGGAATACTGACACTAGATAAGACTCTGAGCTACTTTTATAGCTTGAGTAATGGGATAGTGTTGAGGGAGTTTAAAAGTTTTTGTTGGAGCAAGAGGAGGGATGTAGGGGGAAAAAAGTGAAATTACAGACTGAGAGAAGTTGTGAGTATGTTGGAGCCTGTTAATTTGTTGGTAATTCATACTTGGATCCTCTATGCATAGTTTTGATGAAAGTTACCCTTACATGCCCACGAAAGATACTGTTTAATTTCAAACACTGGTTCTTACTCTCCTTTGCACATATATAGACAAGTCATATGCCAAGTGAAAGGAAGAAAAGAAGGAAGGGAAGGGAAAACAAGGGAATAAGAAAGAGAAAAAGAAGAAAAAAGAGTGGGAAAGGGAAAAGAAAAAAGAAAGGGAAGGAAAAAATAAAAGCAGATCTCTGTGGTTTGCTTAAATGTCTGCCCACGAGCAGGATGGCTCTCTGGGTCTGCCCCCTGGCTGTAAGCAGGGCTGTGTGTGTGGTAAACAGCTTTTTTCTCTGTTCTGCAACCTCCCACTGCTGGGTAAATGTTAAGGTCGCTTCTGTGTTTTCCCTTCAGGAGCCTGCTTAGTGCATCCCTGGATGCCCTCTGACCTAGGTGCCACTGTCTGCCTCTCAGACCGTGATCCTTTTTTTTGATCCCTTTCCCCAAAAGATCACTCTAATTCATGAATTCGGTAAAGCCCCAGAGCTCCCTTCTTTCAGCAGTTCCTGGCAGGGAATGTTGGTTTTTTGTTTTGTTTTTGTTTTTTGTGGGTGCCTGCCAGCAGCCATGGAAAACACACAGGATGTTTCGTAAGCACAAGGCTTTCAGTATACGGGGAAGGAATAGGCACATAATTATTTCTGAGTAGGTCTGGCCTCTTTTTTTCCCCAGAGTCTTGCCACTCCCAGACACTGCTTGCTTGTGAGGCCTCAGGGCTGCAGTTTACTCATTACTCATATTCTCATCTCTAATTGGAGTGGCTGGTTGTTTTCAAATTCCCAAGGGCCTGCCAGTATCCTCTCATATACTACTCTCTAGCTTTTACTTTCTGTGATGCCCTGGTTTGTAAGTACGATATCTCACCGACTGTGTTTCTTTGCCTGGTAGAGAGAGTGCTTGGGATCTTAGTCCATTGGCCTGGCAGCCTCTGAAATGCTGACTCCCTCCCTCAGGGACCCCAGTCCTGTCCTAAGATGGCAAGTATGCCGTATCTGGGGTGCCAGGGATGCTTCAGTACAGAAACCCTCTGGCTTCCTTTTGAACCCCCTGGTGCTGGGTTTTGGTCCAGTGAGTTTCTCCTGATTACTTTGCCAAATCTGGTTTTCTTTGTTGTGCCTGCCTCAGTGTACCTGCTTTCCTCCATGAACTTATCACAGTCTGTCCCTCACTGCTACCGTCCAACTGGCCATGATGATCTCCAAGATGTGTACTTCTTAAAAGTACATCTTTTATGTCACCAATTTTATAAACAAATATTTACTCAGTGATTATCAAGAAATTAAGCTAGCTCATGAATTATTCTTCCTGCCTTGCCATTTATACACAAATAGCCATTACTTTTAATTTTTAAAATTCTTGGGAGTGCTTTTAAGGTAATTTATAGACCTAAAAATGGAAATGTTAATTTTTATTTCACAGATATACCTGTCTCCTTTAGTATGGTGCTCCTAGGAACTATACATTTCTCTGTCTTCTCTTCATATGCTAAACTTTATTGAGGTACACTTAAAAGTTTACAGACCACACAAGCACTATCAGAATTCTATTTACTACCATTATGTATTTTAGATGATTGTTTTTCTTTCTTTAACTATTATTGATAAAAGGACATACTTATATCTTTCTATTTAAGTAAGAACTACTGTATATGAAAACAGATATTTTGACTGACTCAAATATTTTGGGAAATTGATATTATAAACATACTTAGTAATAACACTTGTTATGATATATTTTATATATGAATATAAATAGCATTCTAGTGAAAATACCAGTATATGTATGGACCCTCTGCTGTGAGAGAAATGTCACACAGTCTATATAGCATAGTATAAGGTTGGCATAGGAGTGGTAAGAGAAAGGAGTATTTGTAAGGCCCAGATTTCTCTCCCTAAGTGATTTAATTGCTGTTAAGCCATGCTGCTCCCTTTGTCATTATTCACAAATGTCTTTTCTGTCTCGGTTCATACCCCCTGAAGTACACAAGTATTTACGATAACTACTTGGAAGCAGAAAACCTACCTAGTTTCCCCAGGTCAAAGATTGAATGACAGACAAATATTTTGAAGCCACCATTTTAAGAAAGACACTTTGAAGGATATAATGAAGACTTTCTGAAAACAGAAGAAAATAAATACTTTTATGTCTTCTATAAACTTAAAATGGGTAGTAATCAACATTTTATTTTTGAGAAATTTACACTATTATTTGATACTTTTCTATTCATATATGTTGCCATTCTACCGAGATCTTGACTTCTCATCTGAAGCACCACATCTAAGGTTCATCAGTTTTTGTCCCTGTTTCTTTATATTCCCTTTAGAGTTAATGACTCAGATGGGCTGCAGAATCAACCCATGGATTGGTTCCCTTGGGTTTTCCAATGTATAGTAGGTACAGGGTAGCAGCAAGGTCTCATGGTCTATCACATACTTGGTAAGAGCCATGAATATTGATTCCCTTAGGCAGTCACAGCAGCTGTTGGCACCTCTAATATATAGGCTCATGAGCTTGAAGGAGTTGAACACTATTGATTACTAAAATGTTTTGTTAGTCATTTGTGCCCTCCAGCATTCTTTGATTCCTCTTTTTCTTTACATAGAATGTAGATTTATCCTACCAAAATTAATCTCTCATACTATGATAGACAATTTAAGAGTTTTGTGTATTTTTGTTACAAGAGGCAATTTTTCAGAACTCTACCTAGAATCTGTTGTTTTTCCTAATTTATTTTATCATTATGAAAGGGTGTGGGTCATCAAAAAAGAAGGTATTGGGGTGACCCACTTTCCAGTCCCCCTTCTGTCTCTTAGACAAAAGCTATCTTTCTCTCAATAAATTTTTCCTACTCTTAATCTTCATTGTTCCTAGAATTCATTCTTTGATTTTAGAGAACGTGAACTTGCATTTTGGATATCTAGCAAGTTTGAGAATCGCATCTATTCCCCCTATATCACCAGGACAGCACCAAATAATTCTCAGGACCCCTGTGTGGAACTTTTCTTGAGCTCCCATGAGATGTGAATAGCATAAAGACTACTGGACACCATGAGGAGCTGCTATCGTGACTCCTCACAGTAGCCCACACTGCGTCTCCCAGACCAAGGATGTACTTTTATTTTTGCTCTTTTTAATTCTTTTCTCTCTTGTTTGGCCCATGTTCACTCTGCAGAGCCAGTTTTTTCCTCACCCCTTCACCCCACACTTTTCAAATAAACTGTTAGTGCTGTTAAAAAAAAGAAGAAGGTATTGCTTGTAATGACTACTATGTCATAGATTCATTTAAAAATGCATTAATTACTTTTCTCTTATAGGACAATCTATTCGAGAGAAAAGGATTATAGAAGCACCAAAGAAAAATGAAATAGACTATGAAGTAGGTGATATCCCAGTAGAATGGGAAGGTAAGTTTCTGATTTTAGTAGAATGTTCTAGGGTGTAAATTGTTTAATGATACATAAAATTAGTGAGCATATATATAATAACATACTTCTCTTTGCAAAAACTTACAGTGTGACTCCATCAAACTTTTTTAACATCTAATTTTGCTGAAATCTGTGAAGGTGACAAATTTTATTAAGTGAACTTTTATAGCTTATGTCTAGATGCCCCCCAAAACCTCATGCAGTCATATGTGGAGCTTTTTGGAGTTGGCTGGATCTAGAGTGTGTGATACTGGGATTAAGGATGTGATGCTGGGATTGATTCACAGCAGGATGCGAAGATTAAGGGTACCCTAATCTGAGTGTGAGTGCTACCCGCCCTAAGGACAGGTAGCCTGGATAAAATATAAGGGACAGAAAGAGGGCTGCTATGATTGCTGCTTGCCGCTTTCTGCTTGTCTGCTCTTGCTGCCTTCTGCCTGCCATGGACAGTTTCTCCTCTGTGATGCCACTCTGCCATGCCACCCTGCCTTGGAGCCAGCAGATTATGAACTAAAACCTCTACAAAGTGTGACCCAAAATAAATTTTTCCTCCTTTAACTTTGGGTCTTGGGTATTTTATCTCAGCCACAAGAAAAGTAACTAAGATCACATGTATAGCAAAAAGAATGACAAAGCGTTTAGCAGAGCTGGGACTACAATGAAGCAAGTAAACCTCTTAGGATGCAGAATATAAAGAGGCACACATTCTCATGGACTGACCTTGCACTGATTTAAATTTTGTCTCTGGCACTCACTACTGCCCCACACACTTGAGAAACTGCTATGCTTTTCAATCTTAGTTTTACTTTTTGTCAATTTTGGACAATACTTGCTGTACATACCATTTGGAATATTTGTTTAACTTACAATGTGTCTGTTAGTTGACTTCCTGTTTATACAAGGATGAAGAGTTGATCCCTATATTAAGATTTAGAAATTAAGATGAAAGATCTTTTGTCTTTCTTTGTGGTTGGAACAGTAACATGTATGTATATTTGGTAGTTTATGAATAGCCATCTTCAACCCACAATCAAAATTTTCTTCAGAAAAAGCAGATCTACAGAGAGGAAAACTGAAACCAGTTTGCAAATTGGAATACATAGAGAGACAGAATATTTCTAAGGTTTCCAGCAGCCTTCTAGTTCTCAATTTAATTTTTCTCAGTGAAATTCAACAGTAAGTCTGAGTTCTAAGTGGCATCTCACATCCTAGTTATGAATTTCCCTTTTTTGTTTAACCTTTCTTAGTATAGTGCCTAGCAAACACATAGTAAGGCACATAAGTTCTCAATAAATAATTCATTGAACAAATGAACTGTAGCTTAAGTTTGCCTTTGTTATTAAAATATTCTTAACAAAAATACCCATACCTATCTTAAATATCACTTAATACTTACCAAGAACACCAGGTATTATGCCATTGCTTTACAATCATTACTTTGTTCAATCATCGCAACAACCTTTATGGTAGACACTGTAATCATACACATTTAATAGAACATCTAAGGTTGAGAAAAGTTAGATAAGTTGATAAGTTGCCTGGGTTATACAGCTACATACCTGTGGATCCGTGCTTCTTGGTGAGCATAACATGGTACCTTATATGCAATCGCTATGGACATTGTGTTAACTTTTACATAAGCAAGTGAGTGAAAGTATCTTTGCCATTTCTGCTTGTTAGCTATGAAAATACTAGAACTATGAAAAAAGAGCATAAATATCATATGTAACGGGGATTTTTTTCTAAGAAAAGCAAAATATAAATTGGCAACCCCTAGGAGGAATAATTGAGCTTTCCTATTTTAACAGACTTTCCAGTGTCATAAGCTACAATTGGAATTTTCAAATAATGCTTGCTCCTTCTTATAATGAGCTTATTTTGTCATTTTTCCAATAATAATATAGAATTAAAAGTGTTTATACAAATAAATTAAGTTATAAATAAACAAATAGGTAATGACTCATTTTTTAGCCTTTGAAACATTCAGAGAATTAGAATGAAGTTTTAATGCTTTTTATGACTCTATCCTGATCTAGTAATTCAGCATAACTATCCCATGGGGCATATTCTTAAGTATATCAACCAAACACTGAAATGAAAAAGAAATTTAACAATATTACACATCAATTAAATATAAAAATAAGAACATTATGAAAAAGTAAATTAATATTAAACACATGCAATACTGTAAACAGGGAAGGAGAGAGAAAAAAATTTTAAAGATGTCAACACCAAATGAATCTGAAGTATTTTCTGGTCCAGCTGAATACAAATTGTCATTTATCAGTTATTAATACCAAAACACAGGTACCCATATGACTCATATTCTCTTACACTGTGGATTAAACAACCTGCCTTTTCATGCATTTATTTAACAAGGGTCTGCTGGGGACCTCTGCATTCATGAGCTCACATTCTGGGTTGGAGAATAGGGAGGATATGGGAGGATTCTGCAGTTTTAAATAATGTTCAGAAAAGGCCTTGCTGAGACAGTGACTTTTGAATAAAGACAGAAGAAAGATCTGGCCATGCAGATAACTAGCAGAGGAGTATTTCTGGAACAGAGATGAAAGCCCTGAAACAGAAACTATACTAATTCTTAGGTAGTTATGGGACAGCAAGGAAATTAATGTGACAGGGATAAAGCCAGAGAAAAAATAATAGGAATGCATTTAGAAAGTTCACAGGATGTGCAATCTTTTGGGCCATTGTAAGCCATTATAGAGACTCTGGCTAATACTCTGAGTAAGATTAGAAGCCATTGGAGAGTTTTGAAAAGAATTAGACATATGCTAAGTTATATTTAACAGCGTCCCTGTGGCTGCTATCTTGCGAAGTGGCTGAAGGTGACATAGTCAAAACTTGGAAACAGGAGACTTTTGTAATAATTTAGGCAGAGAACAACTATGACTTGGACCAGAGTAGCACTAGGAATGGAAAGATGTAGTTGCATTCTGGATCTCTTGTAAAAGTAAAGACAACTGGATTTACTGACAAATTGAATGTGGAATGTGAGAGAATGAAAGTAGTCAGTAATAACATAAGCTTTATGGCCTCAACTGGAAAAAATGAAGTTGCCAATAACTAATAGGCACAACTATGAAAGGAGCAAGTTACAGAGGAAAATGACTCCTGGAGTCAGTTTTTAAATTACTCAATTTCTACTTATTCTCATCCCCTTTGTCATTTCAACCAGTCTCATGGCTTTGTATACCATTTATTTCCTTGAAACTCCCAAATTTTATCTACAACTCAGACATTTCCATCAAATTCTTGGCTCACAATTTAACATCTTTATCTGAATGTTGAATAAGCACTTCACACTTACCATGCCCAAACTAATTTCATTTTCCTCTGTAACTTGCTCCTTCCATAGTTGTGCCTGTTACAGTGTTATCAGAAAAACCCAGTACATGGGCATAGATGCAGGTAGATATAGTGGTGAGAATGCCTGCAATTCCCCTCCTGATTTTTTTTCTAATGAAGCACAGTGATTTGAGAGTGATTTTAAAACTTCATAAGTATAAACGCAGCTAGAGCCAATATTTGAATCCATAATATCTGTCTTCAAAATGTTTATTTTTTTCTTCAGTGCTGGAGGCTGAACCTATGGCTTTGTGCATACTAGGCAAATTCCATGCCAGAAAGCTACACCTCCAGCCCTTTTAACATTATATTGTATTGCCTACCTCCTTGATGAGTTGGCTAAGTCCTACTAATCCTCCAAGTTTTGGAGTAGACATTGACTCTTTTTGGAAGTCTTTTCTGACCCCCCACCCACTACCCTAGTGCTAGATTGGGTGTTCTTTTGGGGTTTTTTCCCCACTCACTTTGTGCCTCCCCCATCATACACAGTATAGAGGATTCCCTGTTTACTTTTCTACCCTCCTCTCCCTGGATTTAAAGATTCTTTAAGATAAAGTCCTTACCTTGCTCATCATATTTTCAACATTTTTTATAATATAAGTATAAATTCAGTCACTTATCTGTTGAGTGAATCCACTTGAAACTTAAGTACTGTATCTAAGGAAGTGATATTGTGAGGACTTTGCTGACTTGCTGAAAATAGTCTATATTAAGAAGAAAGATATGGAATAGTAGACCAGAGCAATTGTTTCCAAAAATATAGAAAACTCTTGGACTTATTTGTAGAATATAGTATAGTACTACGTACTGAATAATCTTATGAAGTTTCATTGAAATTATTAACTTTAATCTATAACATATGTATATAGTTCTTATATAGAATCTCTCAAAAAATTGTATCTAATTCTTTTTATTAAATTCAGTATTTATTGGTAATGTTTTAAAATACGGAGCTTTGCAAGTTATGAATAGACACCACCTTTAACAAAATTTTCAGTAAGAAAGCTACTGAAATGTGTAACATCAGAAATTCAGAAATGAGGGCTGGGGATTTAGCTCAGTGGTTTCGCCGCCTGCCTCGCAAGCGCAAGGACCGGAGTTCGATCCCCGGTACCAAAAAGAAAAAAAAGAAATTCAGAATGAAACGAAGATGCATGCTACAAGTACCATTCCATTTTTTGGAAGTTCTGGTCAACAAAATAAAATAAGAAAAAGAAATAACAGGTTAGAACACTGAGAGAAAAAACCAACTGCCATTAGATTATTTGAATGTTGACATAACAAAACCAAGTAAATTAATAAATGATAAGTAATTAGAGCATTCAGCAAGATTTATGAATATAAAGTCAATATATAAATATGATTTTCTTTAACCCTGGTTTTTTTTTTCTGAGAATTTAAAAAATTCAAACTAGACCACACTTACAGCAACATTAAAGACCTTAACATAGCCAAAGAAGTGGAAATCTTGGGCCGGGGATTTAGCTCAGTGGTGCTGTTGCCTGCCTTCCAAGCGCAAGGTCCTGAGTTCAATCCACAGTACCAAAAAAAAAAAGAAATGGAAATCTTATGAAGTGAACTCCCCCCTCCCCCATACCAAGGATCAAACTCAG